TGTGCATATACATACAGCATGCTAGAATATCGTCTTGAATATATGCACGTTCAAACCGCATGTTGTTTGTATAATTGAGATTTTAGCATTAACTGACAATAATCGGTATTTACAGCAATTTTCGTCCAAGCACAAACCGCAAACATTTTCGCGCGTTTGTTTACGTTTGAAAGGGGGCGTTTACCGTTGGAAACTGAAATGTTTCACCGCTCATGTGACGTGTCACATTGAAAAGCCTTAAGCTATTTTTGGCGCAACTGTCATGTTTTGATGTGCTTCCGTGCACGTTTCAATATTTCCAAGCCCATGATAATACGTTTTAGTCACAAAAAGTATGAATATAAACAAATTTGGTCGCTCTTACAATATCGTGAGCTTGGAAATACTGAAAAGTACACGAAAGCACATCAAAACATGAAAAATAACTGAATTAGGCTTTTCACTATAACACGTCACATGAGCAGTGAAACATTCCGTTTCCAACGGTAAACGCCACGTTTCAAACGTAAACAAACGCGCGAAAATGTTTGCGGTTTGTGCTTGGACGAAAATTGCTGTATTACCCGGCCATTTTTGTGTTTCGTTGAGAAAATATGTACGAGCAATGAGAATTGCCGAGTCGAGACTTGAGATGTATAACCAACGACGGGAAATCGACTGGTTGTGGCAAAACACTGGGCTTTCTAATACACAAAATATGAACAAAAAGCATTACCTTGCCGTATCTGACCATATTCAATGCCTTCAGAAGTAATTTGGCCAAGTAAAGATGCGTTTAGGTGTCCAAAATTTTCATTTCAACATTTTCAACGACCATAATTTACACTATTTAGGGACCGATCGTTTATTACTTCTCAGGGGGGGGGGCGGTGGTTTTTTTAAAAACATTATCAATAAAATATGCACCCCCCTATATTTTTTGGAAATGAAAAAATGACCCCCCTGTTTAACTATATAGATTAAAATTTTAAAATATACCCCCCCCCCTCACAATTGCACTAGGCATTTCTAGGCATCAAATCTCAGTGCATCAAATATTCGAATTACAAGGCCTCGCGAAATTGCTAATTCAATATAATATCGAATCATACGGTGGCCCAGACGCGACAGCACAAAAACAGTTTTTGTATTTTTTGATTTTTGTATTTTTTGACTTTTTTATTTTTTTATTTTTTGATTTTTGTATTTTTTGATTTTTTGATTTTTTGATTTTTGTATTTTTTGATTTTTTGATTTTTGTATTTTTTGATTTTTTGATTTTTTGATTTTTGTATTTTTTGATTTTTGTATTTTTTTATTTTTTTTTATTTTTGGATTGATTTTCTTTTCAATATAGATATACATACTGTAGCACTTGAATGAGCGGGCAAGGTTACTGATAATGGGTATATATAACATGATCGAAGCTGTGTAACACAAAATTAAGGTTAAGGGTTAGGTGCCGCGAATTTGGCATTTATCATGTTGATAAATTCGGACGCGTTTAACAATTTACTCGTATTGTAAAATTCAAATGTGGAACTCATGCTCAGAAATTACACTATACGTATAACCTTGATTAAAAAATTTTCACGACATATGGCGCCGGAAAATTGGCGCCGGAAATTTGGTGCCGGAAAAAATTTTGCGGACATAAAATCGTTTATTTTTTGCCAACAATTTTCTTAATTTTTTGAGATTTTTAGATGTATTATTCATCTGGGTACTGGGATTTATATTCTGAGTTCATCAATCTTGCATCAGTAAATTTTAAGGGTCGATCCCTTGTTTTGCGAGCCCCGCCCGAGATAAAGTTCCACTCTGCCTCTCTCCCGGCGATCCTGCATGCAGTAGATGGAAATTTATAACGAAAGATTCAATATATACAATTTTAGACTTAACTACAGACTTAACTACAGGAGCAGCTGCGAAAATGCTGTCATCTGACAGGAATCGAACCTGTGGCTAAATATAGAGATTTTTGGGAATATGACGCTGTAAATCTGAATTTGCGCTTGGGATTTTTCTTGAAATTTGTGCTTGAAATTTCCATGCTACATAAATCTTTCAATCTGTTCATATTTTATATAATGGCATCACCTGTACTATATACTGTATATAAACAAGAGCTTGTGGTTGGAGCTCGACAACTGAACTCTATAACTCAGTTGGTTAGAGCACTGCAACGGAATTGCGGGTCGTAGGTTCGATTCCTGCTATAGTTCTATTTTCCGCAGCTGGTTATAGGTCTAAATTATATATGAATCTTCCACTCGAAATGTTCATCTACATAAAGCCTTCAATCTCGGGATCAAGTGGTCTTAGAATCAGGGGCGTAGGAAGAGGGGGGCAGAGGGAGCGCGTGCCCTCCCTCCCAAATTGTTTCAAAGGACGAAAAGTGTCCCTTTTTGTGATGAAAAGTGCCCTTTTTGTACAAGCTAATGTCTCTGTAAATACTAAATTAACATCAAAGGTGCCCTTCTTGTTTAGAGATTTCGATGTTTTTTTAAAAAAAAATGGTCAAAAACGTGCCATTGCGTTATGGTATTACGGGAAAACTTTTCTTAAGCTACTAGTTGTCCAATGGACGTGTGTGGTGCACCGCATTCTGGTTTAGAATACTTTATTGTACATATATCAAGTTTATACTACAACATATATACATGATCACTGTTTAGGGAAATTACATTTATTATGCCGAGGGGGGTGGGGGGGGGGAGATGGATATGCCTTGAAAAAAATATCATATTTTTACAGGGCCCCTGTTGAGATTATTGGTAAATTTCCGATGCCCCCCTCCAAGTTTCTAAAATTTTCAATGCTCCCCCCCCTCCAGAATTCGGAATCGAAGCAGTACAATCCGGAATTCTCTCTTATCGTAGGCATCATATATACAATTTGCAGCTCCTCAAGATGTCTGATATACTCAAGCATGTACTTCTCCTCAACTAAAATACCGACCTACTGCTTCTTTCACCTCACTAGCGCCAGATTAAATGGCACCCTTTTAAAAAAAAAAATTAGATTGGTACCAAAAAAATTTAAGTGAGCTATAGGTGATTTCATGTATCCATTTATAGAAGAGCAGACTAAGGATATCTTGAAACTGAAATCGGTTTCGAATACAACCATCAGGGACCTAGCAAAGCATCTGACGTTTGGGGGGGGGGGATGTTGGGGGATTATACATGTAATAATAATAATAAAGCTTTTTGTGATTGATTGGCACTCTCATATTAAGTTTCGGGAGAAAAAGGGGGTCTGGTGGTCCTCCCCCAGAAAATGTTTACATTCTACGACTGAATTTCTGGCGTGTTTTAAAGCAAATTCGCAAACACATTTCATGCAAATTGACTGTATTTTACAAAAATGGTTATCATTTCACAAAAATAATTACTTTATTACGCAAATTTTACCTGAAAATGTCAAAATTTTAACTTGAATTTTATATATATTTGCCTGAATTTCACAGTAGGGGGAGTTTTCAAACCATCTATTCCATTAACTATGTGGGAGTGAACACTCCAGACCCCTGCTGGACCAAAACTTTGAAAAGTTTAGAGCTCCCCCCCCCCCACCGTCAGTATATCGAGCCCCCCGTTTAATGCCAGATTGCCAGAGAATATTTCGATGCCCCCCTTAACATCTTCACCCCCCTCTCCCACCCCTCAGCATAATAAATGTACTCCCTTATTTATTTATTTATTTATACGCTAATACTCTTGTCCAGACTTTATATTCCTGTTCAAGTTTGAAAATAAAAGTTTGAAAATAAAAGTTTGAAAATAAAAGTTTAAAAATAAAAGTTTGAAAATAAAAGTTTGAAAATAAAAGTTTAAAAATAAAAGTTTAAAAATAAAAGTTTGAAAATAAAAGTTTGAAAATAAAAGTTTGAAAATAAAAGTTTGAAAATAAAAGTTTGAAAATAAAAGTTTAAAAATAAAAGTTTGAAAATAAAAGTTTGAAAATAAAAGTTTGAAAATAAAAGTTTGAAAATAAAAGTTTGAAAATAAAAGTTTGAAGTTCGTTCGTAGTCAGGAAAAAAGCCCGCGAATACCGCCTTCTACGCAGGCTGATATTTACATTTCAAAAACGTATTAAATTTGTGAGGAAAACACAAAGAAAAATCATAACATAAGCGTGTCGTTTACATGTGATAGAGATTTCCCTTGATTTACATAAACTTTAACTTTGATTTTCTCGACTTACACAACGTATTTTTTGAAAATTACTTCGCCAATGACCGTAGTATAGAGCGATCGTTTTTGAAGCAATTTAAAATACAGTGCCGATGTCTTCTTTATTATCAGACCTAAAGAGTAAAGATATTCGGCTTCGCCTCGTATTTTATATCTGATAAAACACTGCTGATCATGTATTAAATAGTACTAAAAAACTCATTTAGATAAACTTTAAGTTAAATTTTCTCACCAAATATCATTCATTGAATATTTAAAATTGTTGAAGAATACGAATGTTCTCAAACGTTTGATCACAAGTCATACGAAGTATCGCGTACATGTTGTGACATTGTTGTCCCAGACATTGTCTTTGGCTCAAGTTTGTACATTTGATACAACACGGCCGCTCATGCTTTATCTAGATTGTAGACATAAAATTTACATCCGCAGTGCGTGTTTTATCAGACTTATAAAAGATACTCGGCTTCGCCTATAGTACTTCAAACTTTTGAAGACCATGCATGCATGTCAAGTCCGCGTAATGTAAATAAATCCTTCGACGCTTTGTTTATATTTTGGACTGCTATATATTTGTAAAATAAGACATACTATTAACTAAATATCTAACAGTTTTCTGGTTCGCTATTGTAAATGAATATAAACTAGAGTACGTTTCAATTCAAAACAGTTCGAAAAATGCAAAATTTGGGCAATATTTATTTCTGTGGGTCGCCCTTTGTTATGAACA